CCCCAAAACCCCAAAACCCCAAAACCCCATATAAGGGATGAATATTTGAAACCTATAACTAATTTAAATATCTTAACTAGATAATGCAATCGAATACTATCCTGATGATTGAAACACTCAATCTTCCTTTGAATGCTGTTTCTATGGCTCTTAGGCAGCCAATCAATGCTGAAAACTGTAGTATATCTCAAAGTGTTGAGTTTGATCAGAATCATTGGATGCAAATGAGTAACAATACCAGTGATCTCAATGTGATGAAGCAAACCATCCCAACTTATATGGGCAAGCCAACTCTAGACGACTTCTGCTTCTGTATGCCAAGTGCCCCTGTCAAGATACCAGAACAGGAGACACTTCAAATGTCCAATGCTCTCTCTCAAAGTGTTAAGAACGAGCCTGAGAAGCAACATAATAGAGACTATTTCTTCGACAAACCCAAGGGCTTCAAGGTAAAAGAAGCCAAAAAGGCAGAGCTCTCCCAATACAGATACTCTACCTGCTACAAGGTCAACGAAGAAAGCGGCAGGAACCTTCGCTACTACATTTGAGAATACGACGGCTGCCGACGACTTTTCAACAAGACATGGAACTTCATCGACCACGTCAGGATCCACACAGGCGAAAAGCCGTTCAAGTGCGATGTGTGCGGAAGAGGGTTTGCACAGAAGGGGAACCTGAACAAACACAAGAGACTCCACTCGTCCTAAGAACCTAATTATTATTTAAAAGTTCCTGAACTCAGTGTCAACTAGTTTAGCTGGAGATCAAAATCATTTAATCCGGATGTCGTCTGACTTTCTTAGCAACACTAGTTTTCGTTTGGCAACTATAAATGGTATATCTAGTTTGGAGATAAGACTATGCTCGAATTTTGAAAAATTCATAATATGCCAAGTGGGGGTTTCTAACCTTACGAGCATGAAGAGAGACAACCAATAAATTAAATTTTTACAAACCAGACTGCTTATTGTATGATTTCTTCTATCTTGGTTAAAACAAAGATTACTGGTTATCAAATATCAAATATCAGAGCTCAGATCTTCATAAATACAGGAAATACGTAAACACATTTTCTTACATAAATCTTAAATATTTTTACCCCACCAGGGAGCCGGTGCGATGGGTCATAAGGGTTTCAAAATGTAGCTAGAGCTTATTTCTTGGAACTCAGGTTAACCTGAAGAGTTTGAAATGAAATCTAGCTTAAATTACCATTTCACAAAATTCTGGAACAGTAGAATAATTGTGAGTAATACTTTTAGAATTTATTTAAATAATGTAGACTATTTTTCCGGAATTCTTAAATCTACCAACTTTATCAATAGTGAGAATGATCAAGGCCAACAAGAGAAATCAAGACTAGTAAATTAGCAAGGGTAAATCTGTCTCTTATAGCATTCTAATGTTTAAAAGCAAATGAAGAGTGTCGATTCTAAAACTTTATAGAAGAGGCTAAAGAATAGAAAATAAGGATGAACAAAAGATTCATGATCCATAATCAATAAAGTGAAACAAGGCAGTAGATTAAAGCTTTCTAGCCTTATGAATAGACTTAAATGGAGTCATGAGTCCTTGGAGTATTATATACTGTCTCTATCAACACATATGGTCGTCCAAAATGTGTATAATAATTGTTGCGAAAGTCTTTATAGCTATTCGTAATGGCAGCTCTAGCAGGACAGAGGCTAGCAAATTTCTATATCTCTCCAACTTACTTAAGCATTATTATTAATTGATAAACCTCACTCTCAAATCTGAGCTTGAATAAATTAAAGGCCAAGTATCTCATTTCATATTAAGCCCAAAAACTCAAATTTCTCCAGGTTAGTTACCTCCAATCACTCTTAGTGCCCAATCAAGTTGATCTTTCAGAAATGTAGCTATATATTCTGAGCCATAATTATCTTAAGGTCAAGCATCTCGGCAAAAGTCAGGAGAAGATCGTAGAGAAAATCTGTGTCCAGAATTTAGAGCATGGCATATCTTCTAGCAGCTTTTTTCTAAAACGAATTTCAAAGCTTACCCTCTAGCCTGAGCACACAATAAAGCTTTCATAAACTATTGCTCAAAGCTTTTTACTGCTGGTAGGCTGGCTACCTACTCAGTTATGGGCTTACCGAATGAAGCTTACTAAAAATGTAGGTGAAATGAAGCAACTTAGTAAGTAAATAGCTTCTAAAATTTTATTTACAGTTTCATTTAAAGCGTTCCAGATTTTATAGCGAAGGCAACAATGTGCTTTGGTGCCAAATTAAGGTCTGTAACTTAGTGATATGAAGATGTTCTAGCAATTTTTCCTCTCAGTTTGGTGCCCATAAAGCCTTCATATAAGCTCCTGTCATACATCTTCCTTGTTAGATTTTCTAGTTCGGGCTGTAGATATTAATAATAAGGTTAGGCAAGGTTTGGTATAGTTACACACTTCTGGGATTGTTAATTGCATTTAAAATACGATCAGAGGGAATGAATTATTGTAATTTTGAAAGTTTGTGCTTTCCTGTTTACTAATGAGACTTCTTCATGCTTATTCAGAGATATTAAAATATCTAAGAATTCTTCATAAGAATTCGTAAATGTAACTTTTTTCGATATTTCATAAGATGAATTTTAGTTTAAGCTCCTAACTTGGTGATTTATATGGAGAGGTTATTGTTAAAGTAGTACAAATTATAAAGAACTTTGATTTCTAAGACTCTTCTCAGAAGTAGAGAAGTAAACTGAAACGCTTAGGAATGTGTCGCAACAAAATTTAATAGTCTTTGAGCTTTTTCAAGAGTTTATGAAGTTTGACAAAATAAATTAGAAGGTAAGATGCATACTTATTAAATGAAATAGCCAGTTAGCTCTATAGTACTCTCCAGTGTCTTATAAGAGTCATATCGGAAAATTCAAAATTATGGACTCCCGTTCAAAACCGATAAACAATCCAATAATTGATATAGCACTAAGTTCTCTAGTAATCGGGTTGGAGCAGCCTAGAGGCTTACAGGGGTAAACTCTCTATCGATTCTTAATTAGAGTCTGCCCCCATGTCTTCCATGAGTAATTGTGCTCCAATAAAAATCTCTAAATTATTCACTTTGTTGGGCTATAATTGATCATGAAAACTTCGAGCTTACTAAGAGAATTAGCAATTGAGATACATTTAGAAGGCTACTTCTCTTCATAGATTCTAAATTCTTTCACAATATCTATAGTTTTATTTCTAAGTGAACTTACCAGACCTCTTAGAGCACCCTGTCGCTTTCGCCAAGGATGCTTGAGCAAAGAACTAATTTTTGGAGAGATTTGAAAAGGTACGACTTGTTTATTATTTAGCAAAAGTTTATTTTCACTTTTTTGATCAAACAAGTTATTAAATAGGGTTCTTCTTTGTAATTCTGCTCTTCTTTAATTCCCGACAAGTCGGCGAAGAAGATACTATAAGAAAATTTAGAAACTTCATTAAAATCCAGTGAGTCTTCAAAATTTCTGATCACAACTTCGAGGGCGGGATAGAAGTTCACAGAATGGATTTTCTTCGCAAGCTTGCACCTCTGCTTTTTCTCAAAACTTTGATGATACATTGGCTAAGTATTGCTTAATTTGGGCTAAGTTCAAGTTCATCAACCTGCTTAGGTACTATTTAGGAATAACAAAAGCTATGAAATTAGTTCAAACACGTAATTCCAATTTCAGTTTTAATATTTCAAAACAATTGAAGATATACTGAGATAGGGAAGCCTCTCATCGTGAAACTTAGACACAGATGACATTAAATGCATCGTTCATCCTAATGAGCTTAGGTTTTAAAGCCTCAGGGTGCTGGAACAAATTTCAGTTAAGTCCTGCATGAAAATAGTAGCCCCATTATTTTGAGTAAGCCCTAGTTTATTGATCCTCCAGTAAGGTTTACAGTAAGAGACATTGCAATCTTTCCTCGTGCTCAATCATAAACCTCAGATTTTTAGGCCGTTATCATGAAGTCATACAGTTTTTGGATAGTGAGTAGAGAGTTATCTGGAGAGACATAAAGTGCCAAGGGCTAGTTGAGCTAAAGTTATAGAGAACTTTTGCCAATCGTTGATTAATCTCTCTCCAGTTAGAGCTCTTAAACATAATGCTTGCAATAATTTTTAAATTCTCCAAAATTTGTGTGACGTTCGTTTTGGAGAATATGAAGGCTTCACCTAAATAAGTGTTGGAGAGTCTTCGCATATCTCTTTGGATTCTTTGTGCTCTTCTATCATTTATGAGTTCACCTAAAATCCAGAAATTGATATTATTCCGAATAAAGCCAGTTGGAACTTTCTTGATCTAGTCCTCTCCAAAGTGATAATTTAATATACTAAAAGCTAGCAAGGACAGATACGCATTATCCACGACAATATTCGGAGGAATCATTATCTCTTTGGTATGTATGAATAAATTCAGCTCTTAAAGCCTCCTCTTCATGTTGTCACAAACTGGTACATGAAGCACCAAATTAAATAATAAGTAAACAGTGTGAGTTAAATGATATAAATTTTTGACAGCTAATTAAGACCTCCAAACATTTCTTAACACACTATATTAACTAAGAGAACTGGCTGAATACATTGCACTGGTACATACAACCTCTCGAGTTTAATTTCCCTACCCATAGTCTTTGTCTGTGTACAAAAACTGAACTAAAAGTGGGAACTTTGAGAGGATGGATAAATCATAAATTTTCGACCATTTTAAGAATAATCGAAATATCCTGAATCTTGAGTTCAAAATACTCCCTAATTGTTCTGTGGGCATGCTCAATAATAAGCCAAGTGGGCTAGGTCTCTGAAAAGTTAAGCTCGAGTTGTGTTATTGCAGTTTTATGAGGAATTTTCTAATCTAAGGTCGACTATCAGCTTGAGATTTTTACTCCTTTCGAATATATTGGAACAAAGTCTCCTAATGCTAGGGACTTGGTGAGGAACTTTTGGTCCAATGATATGCTAGATAGGCAATGGCCAAAGCTTTTAAACAAAGGAAATAGAGTGTAATTAATTTGCTTCTCAGATGAGAAGTCTAAATGTAAACCGAAAAGTCATCTATGCTCACGTCTCAGAAGGCCGAGAGATTTTTAACTTTGACAATTTAATATCTGCTTACCTTTTTTTTTTCTTTCTGAAAGGCTGATTTATGAGAAAATTTGATTAAGCCCAAATTCATAGGCTTCTTCTATTCTCTCTGCTTGATTATTTGCTCTCTCTTGTAGGTCTAGGACTAGCTCTACAAATATTTAGAAGATGGAGGCTATCCTTATAAATTTGGGGCCCTCTTCTAAAAGAATATGAGCATTTGGAGGAGCTTATTAAGATTTTTTACTATAATTATATGTCTAAGCTGAACCTAAAATTGTTGCAAATTTTCAATTAGTTTTAATGATTGCAATCCTCTCAAATGAGAACCTGAAAGAATTTTCGATGAACCTATAAATTTAGAAAAAAGGCAATGATTCTTAGAATGTAGCTGAAATGGGTCAGCCAATCAATTTGATGATTTATTCTCCAAATAATCAGCTGCAGTCTCTTCATAGGAATCTATGTATTAACAGTAGGGTAATATTTAAAATTTTACTCAATCCAGAGAAGTATCGGGATGGAATGGATCCATTAGTACACCTGAACTCCAAAAGTAGAGAGGTCATAAATTTAGAATTGATGGAGAAGAGTATCACATATTATATCTACGGTCGATGACTATACTT